GGGAAATTTGACTTGACAGAGAGTATGGGAGAAGTACTTGCCTTTGCTTTAGTTTGCTCACAATAGCGCTCATCAATTGGCTATTGGCATGTCTCCCTTTATGGCGATGTATGGCTATGAGCCTAGGTCTCCTGTGAGTTTAAATTTGGCTTTAGTTCGGGTTCCTCATGCTTGTGATTTCCTAGAGGATATGCAAGACAAGCTTGAGTTGGCAAAATTGAACATGACGCAAGCTCAAGAGCGAGACAAAAGATTGGCTAATGAGCATCGTTGTCATCAAGAGTACAAAGTTGGTGACAAAGTTTTCCTTAAGTTGTCGGATGCACAACAATCTCTAAAAGGAAGTGGCAATGCTAAGTTGTCTCCACAGTATTGTGGGCCTTGGACAATTTTATAGCGTGTGGGGGATCTTGCATACACTTTGGACTTGCTAGTTAGTTTGAAGATTCATCAAATATTCCATGTGAGCAAGCTTAAAGTGTGTTTGCACTCTAGTGATATCATGAATCAGTCCATCATCCAGGTTCCAGAGATTGATGCAGAGAAAGCTAGTCTGGCCAATATTCTTGCTCAAAGATTGGTGAAAACATGCAAAAAGACAACTAGGGAGTTGTTAGTTCAGTGGAATGGTTATTCCATGGACGAAGCTACATGGGAAACTGAGGATAACATGAAGAGAGTGTTTCCGAGTTTTGGTTATGACTTGGATGACATTCCTGAAGAAGGGGAGAATTGAGTTCTATAGCCATATTACTATGTGATTTGAGTTGTTTGTTCTATTCTCATTCTCTTGTTTCCATGACCGTATTGTCATGTGAGAAAGCCATATTGCTTTCTTTCTTTCGTGGCCGTTTGTCGCGATGTTGATGTTGCCGTTTGCACATCTTTTCTCTATGGCTGTATTGCCTTGGACTCCCTTCATGTGAGGCTTGTTTAGCTTCTCGAGGCTGCCGTATGTAGCTGGGTCATGAGGGAAGGGAGAATGACACGAACCACAGGAATATTCCAAGAATATTCCATGGCCTGTGGGATTTAAGGCCGTAACGCCTTAAGGTTTGGGAGGTTGGCCTAGGGTTCGCACTCCTATTCGTTTCACTAACAAGTGATCAACTTTATTGAATTAGATGAAACAACATTGGACAATTCTTCCATAATTATATGGCCAAGAAGATTGTGAATGTAGGATATTTTCTGACCAACAATATTCTAGGATGTGAAGGAATGGTGCAAGTCATATCACATTTGTCAAGCTTTTGAAAGAAGAATCCTTCAACCATGAAGTCTTCATCCAATTTTGTCGACATAACCATTTGAGAAATGGAGGATAGATTTTATAGGATCAGTTCTGATGGCATTAAGTTAAAAAAGATTTATTTTGGTGGCAATAGACTACCTTACTGAGTGGGCTGAAGTAGTAACAACTAAAACTAACACAAAAGAAGTTTTTTGGTAAATTTTCTTGTCCAAATTATATGCACAAGGTTTGGTTGCTTGTTAGAGATTGTCACTGACCAATTTGCAATGAGGTGGTTAAAACACTAATGAAGAAGCTATCAATAAAATATTGACAGTCAATATCATACTATCCACAAGCTAACAAGTTGGTGGAGGGAATAAATAATGTATTGTGCAACATTCTAGGAAAACTAACTATTGAGAAGAAGAAAAATTGGGACAAATGACTGATGACAGTATTATAAGTTTATAAAACTACACATAAGGTAACAACAATTTCACTCTTTTCTAGCTAGTTTATGGGATAGAAGTTATATTTCTAATTGAGTTGGAGATCCTAATTTTACAACTAATGTTGAAGCATTGATAATGAGGACTTGCAATTAAAGCTCATTCAACTTAAGGGGATGGATAAGAATCAATGTCAAGCTTGTCAACATATGGAAGCAGTTTAGTAGCAACAAAAGCACAAATTTGATAAGAAATGTGTAAAGGCTTTTCAAGTTAGTGATTTAGTTATGAAGTATGATAGCAGGATTGATAAAACATTCACAAAAAAGTTTCTTCCGCGATAGGGTGGCCCATATCAGATCACAATAATGGATTATACTTGCTAGCAGATTTTGATAGAGAACAATATGACACCCAATTAAATGGATATAGACTGAAAATGTTCCATGTTCAACTATAAAACAACACTACCATTGGGTTGTAAACAACTTGCATGGCTTATAACCAAAGGGCTTGTTTGGATGGGATTATGTGACAAGAAAAATTTTCAACAAAAAATGCCATACTCAAAGTTGAGGTATATATATGTACAAGATATGTATATACAAAACCATTCCTCTATACCTCTACCCTTACCACTTTACTATTCTATAACCACCTTTTCTCTATGACCTGATATTTGAAGTTAAACCAAATCCTTTCACAACTACTCTCTTATCTTTATATCTTATATTTGTCCTATTATCCATCCATTTTACTCTATCTAAAACTTATTTTCCACCACCTTTATAAAATGATTTGTTATATACCTTCTACATTTAAGTATACCCTCCAACCT